TATCAATGAACGACAATGAAAACTGCACATTACTAAGTTTGCTGTAACAGAAAGATTTGTATGAGAAATCAAATTCACCTTCTGTTTGTGCTTTTTAAAGCAAGACATAACATCACTATTAAATCCATAATAATATTAATAATAATAATAATAATAATAATAATCTTTATTTCCTCCATAAATTAAAGATCATAAATTAAAAAGAAGATGAATAATAATACTTATACACGATTTTTTTTGTATAAGCAACTTAGAATTTTGGTCTGAACTCGAGTTGCTTATTTTTCAGTCAATTTCTATATCTCGAGTTGCTTAATGGTTGCTTAATGGTTGCAAATTATCTTCTTTTTCCTTCCTACTACCAACTCACCACGATGACAAATCTTTTTGGTAAAACCAAAGTTGAACAAATTTGTCTGCTTTCTCTTACTCATGATCTTAACAGCGTTGTCAACAACATACACAACAACACTACTGTGATTACTTTTTTTTGAAATCGTTTATGTAAAAGAAGTCATTACATTGCAGAGAAAAAAATTGCAATATATGAGTTGCTTATGTTAACATTTTTTCAGAACTGAAGTTGCTTAGTATTTTTTCACATCGAGTTCAGTTGCTTATAAACGAGTTGCTTATACAAAAAAAATCGTGTATTCACACAAATTCACACAGATCACATAAAAAAAAATAAAAAAAATAACAACAATAATAATAGATCTAGTAATAAAAACAACAATGATAATAACAATAATAATAACAATAACAATAATAATAATAACAATAATAATCTTTACTAAAATTATAAATTGTATTATTCAAATCAACAACAAATTAAAAGCACTAATTCCAATTCCTACTCACCTGTTAATGACATTGCTTTGCGGACTGTTTCTACACGGTTTTTTGTGATGCCAAAGAGCGAGCAAAAGGCTTTCACACACACTGCCACTGGTTCCACTGATGTTCCTGTTGATACCTTTACGACATACTTAACACTCATCTCTTTAGGTTTATAAGAATTTTCGTCTGCACCTTCCCTACACCTACGTTGTTTTACAGGGAGAACTACTACCATTGTAGACAGATAAGCATCTTGGTTGTCTTTGCTTGAGTATGCGTTGAAGCCCTCAATAAGTGATTGTCTTGCAGCTTCACTTATCTGTTCAAAACATTTTAGACGGCTGCATTTGCAATCCTCACCTGTTGTGTGATTTTTTATGCGTTTAATCTTTGCCGCATCTTTTTTCCTTCCATTAACTTTTCGCTTTCGAGGCGTTACAGTCACAACTGGTCTGTCAAAGCAATCCGCCATTTTGCACGCACTTTGTTGTTATACCAAAGCTAAACGCTGATTGGCTGACCTAGTAATGTGAATCGACACCACATGACTCAGCGGGGACATGTCTACTTCTTCCCCTGTACGATTTGGACATGTCTGGTTTTTCCCCAGATGGCTATAATTTTAAATGCTAAATGCTCGAGACTTTGCTGGTTTTTCGGTTGGACAACATAATAGGATGTAACTTTGTGTCGGGCTCTATGTAGCAAGGGAAAAAACTCAATATATGAAATTTTTGACATGTCTGCTTTTTCCCCTGTGCCCTTCATATATATATATATATATATATATATATATATATATATATATATATATATATATATATATATATATATATATATATATATATATATATATATATATATATATATATATATATATATATATATATATACATATATACATATATATATATATATATATATATATATATATATTTATACATATATATATATATATATATATATATATATATATATATATATATATATATATATATATATATATATATATATATATATATTTATATATATATATATATATATATATATATATATATATATATATATATATATATATATATATATATATATATATATATATATATATATATATATATATATATATATATATATATATGGTTAGAATTCAATAAATACGGGTGCGCATAAACTTTTTTTAAATATATATATATTTTTTCTTTAATATATAATTGTTTCAATATTTCGCTGATCTATTGTGATCAGTGTCATCAGTTATGAAAAAATAAAAAATAAAATTTTATATTTTAAAATAAAAAAATAATAATTAAAATAAAAAAAAAAAAAGTTTATACGCAGCCGTATTTATTGAATTCTAACCATATTTTAACGTATAACAAGAAAATGACATTCAAAGATATATATATATATATATATATATATATATATATATATATATATATATATATATATATATATATATATATATATTATATATATATATATATATATATATATATATATATATATATATATATATATATAAAATATAAATAACTTTTTGAAAGGAATGGCGTTAAGAACATCTTCAACACATAAACTAATAAAGGAAACAGTTCTAAAAGTAGTTCTATATTATATTTGCAGGTTGATCGTTATTTGTGTAATGCTTTTGTGACATAATTATTATAGATTTTTTACTAAAGTATACAGAAAAGTTTCATCTGCAAGCAGTCTTTGCACAACTTATGGTAAAGAATTGTGCAAATCTAGTATTGAAACTATTTTAAAAATTACCAACTCTTGTTTGTGAACAACTATTGATGAAAATGAAGCTTCTGGGAGATCACAAATGCTATAATTTGAATATAATATTAAGAGCAAGAAATATATATATATATATATATATATATATATATATATATATATATATATATATATATATATATACATATATATATATATATATATATATATATATATATATATATTTATATATATATATATATATATATATATATATATATATATATATATATATATATATATATTGTTATTCTATTTATTTATCAATATTATCAATATGTTTAACCTAATATTTTTTATTATTTTATTTATTTATCAATATGTTTAAAGTTACCTAATATTTTTAATTTCAGTTAGAGCATAAAAGTAAAATTGTTCACACTTCATTTTGATGATAAATACTTCATACTTATAAGGTCGTCCCAAAAAACAACATTTAAAAAAAATATAGCTGCCACCTCCTAATGAGTTTTATATGATAAAAAAATGCTGGTTTTAAAATTTTTTTGAAAAAAAACATTTTTGGAATCCCTTAAACATATAAAGGGTTTCTATTATTATCAATTAAAAAAATCTTCAAAAGTGTATCTTGACATTTCGTCTCAAATTAAGCAAAATCATGAAAATTTCAAATATGATAATTATATTATAAAATACTTATTGAAAAAAAAATATTGCTAAAAATTGGTAAAAAAATGTACATTTTTCTTTTTTAGTTAATAAAATTTTTTATGGTGTTAAATCTAACATTGAAATTTTCATATAATTTTGCTTCATTTGAGACCCAACATGATACACTCAAATAATTTTTTTTTAATAATATTAGGAACTCGTTATGTTCCTAGGGGGTCTCAAAGGAACATAACAAGTTTCAAAGGGTCTTGAGAGAGTCATCAAAAAATTTTTTATTCAAAATTTTTTTAAAAATCAGTTTTTTTTATTACATAAAACACATTAAGCATATATTGTTCAAAAATGTTCTTTTTGGAAAAACCCTATTAAATAATAATATTTTTTTTAACTTTAGATAAATGTGTTTTAGATCAAAAAAAGCAAGGAAAAAATATAATTACAACTTTTAAAAATTACGAATTTTTAAGAGTTGTTATTATATTTTTTCCTAGCTTTTTTTGATCTCACTGAGTGGAAAAGCTTTTTATATTTAAAGTTTTTTTTTAATTAGAATCTTTAGGCCTTTTCATTTCATTTCCATTCTTTGGTATTTTATTTCTTCAATAAAATAGTCTGGAAATTAGGCTATTCGATGCCAACATGATGCGGGGCAAAACAAGACATTCTGTTTGTATTTTTTTTTTGCCGATATCTAATATTATGTTTATTTAATTTTTTACATTAAAACAACAACCAAAGCAAATATTAATATTTACATGCTGTAGATTTAAATTTATTATACTGTATTTACTTACTTTTATTTTGTTAATTGAAATGTTTATTTGTTATCCAATATAGAATTACGTTTTATATTTTGTTAACTTATATTTAAATATAATAATTATTTAATTAAATTGAAGCAAATAATTGCCTGATGTTTATAATTACTATGTTTGTATTTTATATTCTTATTGTATTGTAATGTAATAAAGTAAGTAGTATATATTATATGTAGTGAGTAGATTATAACATAGGTTATTGCAGTACCTATAAACAAAATACAATGAATGTTATGCGTGCTTTAAATACATAAGTTTAATATATGCATGTATGGTTTTATTAGTTCTTGTAGTGGATGTATATATATATATATATATATATATATATATATATATATATATATATATATATATATATATTATATATATATATATATATATATATAAGTGGAGTCAATTTCCAAAATGCACAACCTGGGCTCATTCGGACTGTTGTTTGTTTCAAAATACTGGTTAAGCAATATGTGATTTATGTGACTAGTGACAGTTTGATTATAGCTGTAATATATTATAAAATGTATTTTTTGCTAATCCTCTTAAAGATCTGTTTTTTTTAACTATTTATTTAAATTACTAAAAAAAAAATCTGTCTCATTTTGCCCCGGTATGCGGGGCAAAATGAGACAGGATAGGTGCTGTCAATAAATGATCTCTGGTGACCAAACTTCTGCAGTTTTGCAACTCATACATATATATATGTATATATATATATATGTATATATATATGTATATATATATATATATGTATATATATATATATATATATATATATATATATATATGTATATATATATGTATATATATATATATATATGTATATATATATATATATGTATATATATATATATATATATGTATATATATAGTCAGAAAAATAGTAATTAACAAAATAATTGCACATTGATATACAAGGATGGCGGGATA